GAGAGAGAGAGAGAGAGAGAGAGAGAGAGAGAGAGAGAGAGAGAGAGAGAGGCGCACGAAAATCGGAGTATGGAAATGCAATTTTAGTTTATCATTTTTCCTTAAAGATCCCCGAGCTCAAATGAAAGAAACAAAATAGGCCTCAAGATTTGAAATACAGCTAGCTACCTTTGTATTCAGTGTCACCGAGATCTATAATTGTCGTGACCCACTGAGACTAAGTATAATTATTTCCTGCACGCAAAGGAACAGAGTTTGATTCTAGGGTAAGAAAGATGTATTTTACTGGGTATGTCCTGCCTCTCCACTAGAGTGATTTAAAAATCGTTTATTGTATGGTCTTTTACACCTCCATCAAGACAATTTTGATCCTTTAAAAGGCCGGCGTTGACCCTGCCTGTCAGACCTCAACCAGGCTGAGACGGATGCAACGTCCCAGCAGAAAAACCAAGATACTTGATTAAAAAAGAATTCTCCCCCACACGGGAATCGAACCCATGTCGTCTGCATGCAACGACAAAACATCTAATTATTACATCACAGTTGCCGTTAGCAAGGTGTGGTCCACTCAGTCCGGATAGGTCCAGATAGAAACAGTATCCCTCCTAAATGATTCTATCTTAATTCCATAAAAGGAGCGAAAAACATCAAAATTAAAAAAACAACAACTCATAGTTTCCACAGTACCTGCATGGCAATAGCCAAGAAAGACGACCAAAAGGGGCGCTACTAAGAGGGAAAATGTCCTTGCCATGACGTCGCGATGAAAGACCAATTTCCTCGTCCTCTTGCGTCCGCAGTCGCGTGAAGAATGAGGGAGACGACGAGTGGTGCAATCGAAGATACGCTCACGGTGTGAGTTGGCTCTGTACTCGTGTGTTCTCCACAAACGCCTGACCCAAATCTCAGTGCAACAACTTTCAGACGGATTTCAGAAAACTATTATAACACAATAGAAGAAAACAAGCTGGAAGGTGTGTAGCCACAACAGCGGGGGAGAGAGAAGAACGCTGGTCTTATATAGCCTGGTGGGTCTGTTCCGAGCTCTTTGTGTTCACGCCTCGAGTTGCGTGGGTCATCACTCCACTTTGAGGGGAGGGAAGAAAACGTCACAACCTGGAATTTTCCGTTGATGAGGAGGTTTCAGATTAACGCCTGCTTCCGCGCAGTTTGAAGTAACCTCTAGCATAAAAAACAACACGACTAACACTAGATTCCATAGAAAGGTTCAGAATTGACGTCAGCTTAGCAGATCCGGAAGTATGTAATTTATTTTTATTTTTTAATAGATCTAAGGAAAAATGAGTTGTTACAAGGATATGGTGCTTATCATGTTAGAACTTTTAACATCAAATATACCGGATGTCGCAAAAAATTAAAACCCATCCTCTCGCCCCCCCCCCAAACCCAAGCAAACAAAAAAACTAACACAAAAAACCCAACTAAACACCCTCCCCCCCAACCCAAAACCCCAACAGAAAAACCCTAACAAAAAACAAAACAAAACAAAACAAAAACCCAGACACCCCCCCCCCCCCAAAAAAAAAATCAAATAAAAAAAAAATCAACAACCTTCTTCATTCCAATGTACCCACCACCTCCCTGCATTGTTATTTCTTTGATCTCTACAACAAAACAACGGGCTACCCAAGACCAACAAACATCATTTGTATTTCTGATGGAAGTGTCATCCCACCCCCACCCCCTTTTTCCTAAAAAAAACAAAAAACAAAACAAAAACAAAAAAAACAAAAACCAAAGAAAAAGAAAACTGTACTGTTAATCAAGTTCGTGCTATGCAGAGAAAGTAGATTTTTTCCTCTGTCCAGAGTGAGGAAATACACCGGTCGAGATTTTAATAATAATGAGAATAGATTGCATTTATATAACGCTTTATCCCATACTTGTATAAGTATAGCTCTGAGCGCTTTACACCAATCACATGATCATTGAGCGATTCACACAAGATGAAATATTTAACAGTAACAAGAAAAAAACAGTTCAGCCACATAAAGAACTTTCACAACCATACATTAATTATATACTCGTAAGAACAGCAGTAAAACAAAACATCAGTACTTACTAACATACTATAACACCATAAATTCGACTAACTTATCAAAGTAAGAATAATATGATACACACGTAGAACATAATATTTGACCCTCTTTCCGTCTCCCCAGCTAGAATGTCCTTTGCTGCCCTAATCTTGCTTTCTCATTTTCTCATCCATTCATCCATTCATTCATTCACTCATGTTTTCTCGCTCTCTCTCAGCCCCCCCTCCCCCC